GGAGGAGGCGGGGGAGGGAAGGAGGGGAGGGGAGGGCCGCGCCGCGCCACCTAGAGCCCCGCGCTCCGGAAGTAAAGGAGCCAGACCACCCGCTAATGGATGCGGAGCGGAGGGTCCGCTGACCGCTCTCGGCGCCAGGGTAAGTATGGGCCAGGGCACGCGGTCGCGAAGAGCCGAGCGCTCAGCCCTTGACCCTGGCGCCCCTCTCTTCCACCTCCGTCCAGGCGCCTCTCCATCACCGCATTGCGGAGGTGGGCCTGGGGCATGGTCTACGGCGATTTGGGGTCCCTCTCCCCACTCCCACCCCCTATTCAGCGGGCGAGTGGTTGGGTTGGGAGAGGAGAATTCGCTAAGTCTCCTGGACGGTCGCGGGAGGAGGGAGGGGCAGGGTCGGTACTGACGATGGGGTCGGGGTGGCCATACCGAGCGCGTGACCCCAAAGCCTCAGTCTACCCACGGGCTTTGGTGGGCTACTGAGAACAGAGATTGAAATAGAAGGCTCTTATTTTTGCACAGTTGTAGGGGAGGAATGCTGAGGGGCAGAGCAAATGGGGATCGGTAAGTATAGAGAGCCACGTCGGTCTACCACGGTCGGTGAGAGTGTGGCACATTCAGTGTGTGCAATCTGCAAGTTCCATCCTGGTGCCGCAACTTACAAAATGAGAGAAGGTGGGGACCTGCTATCTTGCCCGAGGGTCCCGCGCATCTCAACTGCGCCACTGCAGAAAGGCCAGAAGAATATCCTGATTTATCTTTCACACACCACTCCCCACATCTTCAGCTCTTTCCCGCACCCCTAGCACCCGTTTTCATCTCTCCCCCACCCCACCACCCGCGTCTCCTGTGGCGCAGTGCGCCACGGTCGCGGGGGTTTCCCTGGTTGCCAAATGCTGCAAGCATGTGGCCACAGCGCCGCTGTCCTTACAGTGTGGGGAGGGGGGGAGTGGGGGAGCTAAGAGATAGAGTGTCGGCTGCTGTGATCGATCGCTTTGAATTGTATGAGGCCAAGCAGGGGAAAGGGGTGTGGGGGTTGGTTTGTAAGTGTCTTTGGTCCGGTTGCTGGACATCCAAGGGAGCATTTTTATTTGTGCCAGTAACATGGTCTCTGATGGTCCTTCGCTGCTCATTCCTATCCCCCACGTAGTCTCCATGTATCAGTCCGCACCTCAGTGGCTTCAGCCCCGCCCCTCTCCAGAGTGACAAAATCCTGCAGAAACGATGCTCATCCTTGGGTGGCTCAAGAGGGAGGTCTGAGCATGCTCAGTAACCAGGGTGGGTTTAGGCTAAGCTCTTTACTGCAGGACTGTCGTGCTGTGCAGTGTGACCAAGGATACTATCCCTTTGCCACCCCTGGAAGGATTAAATGTGGATACCCAACCCCCATGTGCCCAATTGTGATACTTAAATTTGTGAGTGGACTTAAATTTAGTGGACAGCCACAGTTTGAAGATAAACCCACCAGGACGGAAGGGGGGAGGGATAAAGAATGCAACAGACCCGGGAAAGGGCTTCCAGGAACCAGCAGGTGCCCAGACTTAGCCCACAGTATGCGCCTAGGATTGCTTTATCCTACTCATGACAGTCCTGGGCTAGGAGCAGTTTTCAGGGTAGGAAATCAGAATGGGAGAGATGGAAGCCCTTTGCCCAAGTTCAGTAGCTAGTAAAATGATCCAGCAACCAGTGGGGCAATGTTGAAGACTTCCACCTGAAAGTCTGGCTCCTTTCCAACCTAGCCCATCTTTATTTAACAAAAAATACAAGAGTTCCACATTCCCCCCCCCATACTCCAAATATTTCTATCATGACCCACTATGTATCAATCACATTTCACTTGCCATCTTTTTTTTTTTTTTTTAAGGCTGCATTGCAGGTAGGGGAATACATTTTGAGAAAATACCGTATTTCTTTCTGGACTGTTGATTCCTTTCTACATCTCATTTTTCCTCTATTGGGGAAAGAGGAGGAACCATTTCTTAAGAAGGGAAATGAGGCCCACCCTCCCTGGTGGCGCAACAAGTTAAAGTACAGCATTGCAAGCCAGCCACAGCCACTTCAGTGCTAGTTTGATCCCTGGCCCTGGAGGTGACTCACATGGCAGGGCAGACCTCTCTTGACCTGCCTACTGCTCCCCTCAGCAATGTACTTCATTGTTCTGCCTGTTCTGTACCCAGGTCTGTCTCTGGTGAATCCTCTCACCACCCCTGCACCTCTGCCCTGCACCCCAATTCTGTATGCATAAATAAACAAATCTTAAAAGAAAAAAGAAGGGAAAATGAGATGTGAGTAAGTGACTGGACTTGAAACCCTGGGGTGTTGGACTAGAGCATGACCCAGCATTTTGCCCTCCTGGGCCCCTGGAGCATGCCATGACATTAGCACATTCCAGAAGGACTTGGTAAATATGTCTGCAGCTCCAGCTGCAAGTTGGCATCTGTGGCATATGTACCACGTTCTGGCCAGTGATGTCCAGGTCTAGGGAATAAGGGTATAACCTCTTAACACATAATCCTCAGCAGTCCCTGGATAACTAAGGAGCTCTTCACAAGCTCTGCATGGATGGAATTCCTCTCTTTTTTTCTCCCTCACATGATCCATTCAAGTTCAAATGCTGTGAAGTGTCATGTTAGTAGCTTGCCATTTATAGTAAAAGAAACACCTGTTGTGCTTTTTGCAAAGACTGACCAGTGATAACACAAGCGAACTAATTTATAATTTCAAGTTTAACATACTTAGCTCTTAGATTTTAAAAATATTTATACCTATGTTGTTATTGTATCTTTATGATTATGTCATATTAAAGCATATTATAAAATTATATTGTTATGCTCATGTTATTTCTAAATGTTTGACTGATTTCTAACTGGATTTTTAAAACAAAGAAATGAAGTGACAGTATTACTTAATAGATTAAATTTTAAAGATTGTCACATTTTTAGTAAATGTGTTGACAAGCTTCATCCTTGGGTGTTAGCAAGCCATAAGAGTGCACTGTCATCATTTATGTGTAACAGGGCAGCTTGGCTTGCTGGACCCGAGGTCCTGACACGCCATTGTATGTATGAAGCTGGGTGACATCTTCCTTGCTAGAAGCTGAATAAGTAAAGTCCTTGACTCTCAAGGGTCGTTCTGGATCACATAAACAGGTATCTAGTCACCTCTCCTGACTTCATTCTTCTTGTGGGAAAGATTTTGAGTCTGGTTCACAGCTGGGGCTCACCAAGTCACCAAGTCTGATGAGATATGGGGGTCGGGGGTGGGGGGAGCCAGATTGCAGGAGCGTTGCCAAGAGAAGTTAAAGTCACTGTAAGCAAAGCAAAGAGTGGGACAGACACAAGTGCCATGGGAGGCAGAAGCTCGCACTTCCGTCCTAAATATGAGCACAGATGCTTCCTGGGAAGAAGAGGACTGTGTGGCAAAACTAACCGTTTTTTCCCTGGGTGTCGAAGCCCCTCTGCTGTGAGACTTCTCCCAGGGATTGCTGGGTGCCAGAGTGGAAGGTGTTTCCCCACTGGCTAGAAAGAGGTGAAGCAGCCGTGACCAGGACCGTGATGAAAGTAGCTCTGGAAGGTGCTGGTGGCAGAGATGTGCCCCGGGGGCTGCTGGCATCTGTGGGAGAAACAGCAGCCTTTGGGCTATAGCACCTCGGGCAGTGGCATTGCCCCACCTGAGACACTAATCTGCTGTGGGCCCAGCAGACTGCCTTTGGAGTAACCAGACCTACGACCCATTCACTGGGGGGGAGTGGGGGGAGTGCACAGTGAAGGCTATAGGATTAGAAGGTCATCCAGAATATTCTCAACCCCAAGGCTGTGCCTCTCTGCCCCATCCGTGTTGGTTTCTGTAGAGTAAAAACACGGGGGTGATGGCTCTGGCACTCTTGCAGGGCTGGTGTAGGACCATGAGTGTGGATGATCAGAAATCCCTGATGGTGATGGGGATCCCGGTGCAATGAGGCTGAGATTCAGGAGGTTCTCCAGCAGACTCTACAGTCTCTGGGCAGGTATAGACTGCTTGGCAAAATATCCAGGAAACAGGAGAACGCCAATGCTGTCTTACTGGAGCTGATGGGGCACATGATGTCTCAGTGATCCCCAGTGAGGTTCAGGGCAAGGGAGGCATCTGGAAGGTGATCTTTAACACCCCAAACCAGGACCCTGAATTTCTGGAAAGACTCAATCTTTTTCTAGAAAAAGAAGGTCAGACAGTTGCAGGCATGTTCAGGGACCTGGGGCATGAGGGCATGACTTCCCCCACTGGGCCCTGCATGTCACCAGAGCTACTGGCCCATTTGGTGGGACAGACAGTAGCCCATGCCGGCAGCCTCTGCTACCCTTGAGATACTGGAAACTGAGGGTTTTCTCCGGAAGCACCCCAAGGAGGAGCCCTTTGAAATCTGGTTGGAACAGGCCATTGAGATAGTCAAAGAGTGGCCAGTAGCAGAGGCAGAAAAGAGGTGACTGATGGAAAGCCTGCGTGGCCCAGTGGTGGACCTCATGCATATAGTGCAGGCAGACAACCCGGCCACCAGTGTGGAGCAGTGTTTGGAGGCATTTAAGCAAGTGTTTGGAAGCCTGGAGAGCCATCAGACCTCCCAGGTGAGATACCTGAAGACCTATCAGGAGGTAGGAGAGAGAGTCTCAGCCTATGTGTTATGGCTAGAGACCCTGCAGCAGAGAGCCGTGGAGAAACCAGCCATCCCTAGGAATATCGCAGATCAGGTCCACCTGGAGCAAGTCGTGGCTGGGGCCAGCCGTAGCAAAATCCTCTGGTGCAGGCTTCAGCCACCTCCCAGCTTCCTGGAGTTAATGGAGGTTATACGGGAAGAGGAAGAAGAGGAGGCGTCTTTTGAAAATGAGAACCTTGAAGAAGCAGATGAGGGGAAAGGCTGTGGCCACTGGGATAATGAGGCAGATGACTAAAGGCCAAGGCAGAGCCCCCCACAGCAGGGGCCTGGGATGGCCAGTTTGCCAGGCTCTGACTTTGTCAGTGTTTCTTTTGGCACACAATGAGAACCGAGGCATTTACTCCAGGACTTTCCTAGAAAACAGTATCTTGGACGCTACATAGTTTTCATAAACAAAAGACCAAGTTCCAAATATAAAATAGTCTAAATGAATCTACACTACTCCTACTCAATGTTTCAAGTTCCCCCAAATAGACCAAAGTTTACCCAGACCATAGAAGAAAGCACTAATGTGAGGAAAACTCTTGGTATCTTTAAAAATCTGAACGGTTTGTCTCATCAGGTGTTTTTCTCACTCAAATCAGCAAATGTTGAGTCTCTAGCACTGTGAGGACTGTTCAAGGGCAACATTTGGGAGCCTATGTGCATAGGCCGTGTGCTGAGGGTCTCAGTGTCTCACTAAGGACCTGGCCTTGATGTGTGCAGAGCTAGATAACTTCACGAGTAAATATGTTCACAGCCCGGTAACATGTCATTGCCAACTGAATCCAATCATCTCTGCCTTGAGATTTCTTTCTTTTCTTGCTTGGGTAGCAGATAGAAGGTTCCAGGCACTATGTTCAGCCCCCAAACCATAGACTTCGCAACCTAATCCCTGCTTCAAGAGGTGCATGGTGTTGGGGACATCCTCGGCGAGGGTAGGCGTCTGCAGACATGGTGGGGAGCGGGCCGGTACAGGCTGCTGGTGGGCTATCAGCAGATGAGAAAAGGTGTTTAATGTTGACAACAAGCATAATGGAGAGGACACGAAGTCACAATTACTGAGGGATTCCCGTGTGCCAAGTGTTTGGTGTCTATCTCACTTAACGTGTCCAGCTACATGGAGGGAGTACAGCTTTGCTCTAACTGAAATAAAAGAAGCTGTAACTCGGAAGGGTTCAGTCTGTCTCCTCAGTATCAAAACACCAACCGCCATTTTGACTCAAGCTAATCTACCCCATGCCACAAAACTGGTGTTTCAAAGTGTGCACTGCAGAGATTTTCCAGCAGTCCCATCTTTAAAATGAATTTTAATCTTTTAAAACCTCTGATAAATGTCAGGTAGACTCAAGTGGGTTGATGTACGAATTTTAACACATTGGCATTCACAACAGGTTTGCTTTTGTTTCCAGATGGACTTGTTTTGTGCAGGCCTTGGAAGAAAGTTTCCCTTGCCCTATGTGAGCATATATCTGAACTCCTTTCAACTGTTCATAGGTGAAGGGAGCTATCATGCCCTTGGGCATTTAAGTCTAGCTGGTGCGTGTTCTGTGATGTCAAGTGTGTAGTAGAACATAAATGAGGCCCATTCAGTTAAAAGTTGGACAAGCCTCTCACACATTTGATGTATAATCATAGCTTTGTGTTTACAAAATCGGGTTGCTTAATTTCTCTAAAAGTCACTTTCCTCATCAGAAAACTGGAAAGGAATTGCATAGCATTGTTGCACGATTAAATGACTTAGTGCCTTGTAAGCATTTAGTATGATGTCTGAAACATACAAACCCTTCATATGTGAGGCTTCTTGTCCACTCAATGCATGTTCTCTAGTTTTACAATTGTACAGTAAAAAGTAAATATGTAATCTGTCAGTCAAGTTGTGACAATATCGCATTAGAAATCCATAGCTCTTATTATAAGCTAAGTGCTTATTGTTTGTGATCTTTGTGATAAATATTCCAGCAATTGTTGACTGTTGTTAGTCATTTGACTTTGAAATTATAAGTTATTCTTTCTGATCACAGATAAATTTTAACTGAAGAATACACTGAGATTGTAAGATTGTAAGAAAAGCATTTTGTAAAAAAAAAAAAAAGTGCCATTCGTGATCAGTTATTCAAAATATATTTTCAGTCCTCTTCAGCCAAAGTGACACAATTGTCCAATACACCCTCATTTCATGCATTTTGTATCCATGGAAATGGTCTCACATTCATTTAATGATAGTATACAAAGTAAAATGCTATAAATGTACAGTTATAAAATAAATACATGCCAATAAAATTCTGAGTTTCTTCTATTTCATGTATTGTGGTTCTGTATCAGCTATTACTTGAAAGGATCTCATTGCTAAAAACAAACAACAAAAAGTTGAGATAAATTTATAAAATCAAGCAAAAACCAAAAGATCTTGGACTCTTCTTGACAAAAAAAAAACCTGAGAGTAAAATGCTAGAAATAGAATGCTTGGGCCTTGTCTCCCAGGAGGAGAGGGTCTCAGTCCATCCATCATTGATTTCCCTTTTAAAATACATGGAAATGCCAGATGGAGGCCCTTTCCCTCAGAGACCTCCAACTCATGTAAGCAAGTAACTTACAGATAAATTATCAGTCTGATGAAGCAAGTAACTGTACAGATAAATTCAAATGCCCTAAAGGTAAAATATTGCATCTCTTGGATGAAGTCATTCTTTACCAACTAGAAATTCCTCTTGCCTTTGGCCCTCTTAAAATTGCTTCTCTTTGGGCCCTCCCTGGTGGCACAGTGGGTTAAAGCACAGCCCTAAGAAGTTAAAGCCTATGCATCACTAGTTCGATCCCAGACCCAGAGGTGATCCACATGGCACGGCAGACCTCTCCTGGCCCGCCGACTGCTCCCCTCAGCAGTGTACTGCATCAATCTGCCTATTCTGCTTCCCGTTCTGTCTCTGGTGAAGCCTCTCACCACCTCTGCACCTCTGGCCTATACCCCAGCTCTGGATGCTTAAATAAATAAAAATCTTTAAAAAAACAAAAAAAAAACACTGCTTCTCTTTTTCTTTTTTGCAGTGCAGTGAGAGAATTCTTCATTGGACCATTCACAGTACCTTTAGAGGGTGTAATGTCCTAAGGCCCTTTCCCAATTCCTTGAGCAACAACAGCCCAAGAAGTCAGTCTCACTTTACAGCCTCCCAGGCTACAGACCCCTGCTGGAGATGACTTCTCCCACAGTCCATCCTTGGTGCAATACTGATTGCAACAGGTGGTCCCCAGGAAAAGGGGAGGTTCCAGGTTCCCTGCCCCACCCAAAGGAGGGTGGAGCTGAGCAGGGAGGGGAAGAAGCTGGAGAGGAGACTGAAGAGAGAGGAAGCAGGACAGAGGCCAGAAGGAGACCTGGAAATGGCACATGGAGCAGAGACATGTGAAGAAGCGGCTCTTGCCTTTTGGGTCTGTCCTGGTTGAAACAGATGTGGGTGAGAGGCCCGTGGGAGGTTCCCTGTGGCAGTTTTGATCTTGATTTTGCTTTAGCTTTTTCTCCCACTTGTCTGGACATTTCTGGCCCTATCCTTTGGGTCCCTGCCAGAGGGTGCTTTAGACTTGTGGCAGGCATTCAGGCCTTGCTTTGTGCCAATCTTACTTGGGTGGACTTTTGCCCACGAGGGGATGGGTCACTTTAGGTGTTAGGTTTAGAAACTATATTCTTTGTCTTTTCTGTATTGTTTACTAATTGTACTAAAGTTCCTTTCCATTAAAGTTCTTCCATGTTTTGTCTTGATGTGGCGGATCATATAGGCTGAACCTATTTGGCTTGGGGGTTCTGGGTTGCCCCATTCTCTGCAACATGATTATCAGCTACATCTACTTTGTTGCTCTCATTTCCATGTTGCACTGTGCTGATCTTTGCACTCTTGCAACAACATACCTGCTGAATATTTCATGATGCCTTAAAAAAACAGCCTACATCATTTGTCTGGTGGGATAACTCCTGCCTAGATGCACACTGACAGTCTCCTGTTCTCAAGTCCCTTGAGTGGAAGCTCTTTGGAGACTAGAGGCCATGGCAGCATTTTCTTTGGCTCACCACCATCACTTCACTTGCAAATGCATCCTCACCTTCCTGGCATGTGCTCAGACACTGTGGAGTAGTCCTCACAAGCCTGGACAGGGTACTGGCAGACAGGCTATGTGGACAGGAGCCCACTTGAGATTGAACTTGGCAGAGTGTTATCTTAGCTAGCAAGAGGAAGAAAAAGATAATGATTCTAAGCCATGCCCCGGTCCTCAAAGTCAGGTCTAGGAAGGCAAAGAGGGTTAGAAGCTAGAATTGTGAAGGATTAGAGCTTGAAATAAAACAGCAGTGAAGTCAGAGTGTCTAGGCAAGTCTTACCACCTGGGACAGGAACACTTTGGGTTTGACTGGAAAAGAACTTCACTTTCTGAGAGATTCTCGTGGAGGGGACGGTGCCCAGAGTTGGGTCCTCAGCAGGTAGCCTCCCACCAGGACATGGCCCTGGGGTGTCCAGACTGGCATTATTATTTGCTGTTGTACCCAAGTGGTCTCTGACATCCAGAATGACATTTTCTGAAAAACTACAGTAGGCCCTCCCTGGTGGCGCAGCGGGTTAAAGCACAGCACTGAGAATCTAAAGCCGCTTCCGCATGAGTTCGATTCCCGCCTGCCCTGGAAGTGACCACATGGCGTGGCAGACCTCTCCTGACCCGCCCGCTGCTCCCCTCAGTAGTGTGCTTACTTGAGCTGCCTGCTCTGCTCCCTGCTCTGACTCTGGAAAAGCCTCTCACTGCCCCTGCACCTCTGGCCTGTACCCTAGTTCTGTATGCATAAATAAATAAATCTTAAAAAAAAAAAAACTACAGTAATTGGGCTCTCCTTGGTGGCACAACAGGTTAAAGCACCACATTATGAAGCTCTCTGAAGCCACTGCAGCATGAGTTCAATCCCCCTGACAGGGTGCTGACCCACATGGCACGGCAGACCTCTCCTGACCCGCCCGCTGCTCCCCTCAGCAGTATACTTTGTCAATCTGCCTGTTCTGCTCCCCTCTGTCTCTGGTGAATCCTCTGGCCTGTACCTCAGTTCTGTAAGCATAAATAAATCTTAAAAAAATAAAAAACACTACAGTAATTTCAGAAGTCAGTGCCAAAATCAATTCCAGCATGACAAAAGGAGGTGTAGGATTTCAAACTCTCAGGACACCAGCTGGGGCCGCCCATTATTGTCTGAGCTGCCTTAAGCAGCAGCTGAGACTTTTTTTTCTC